TATTTTTAAACTGATGAGTCAGTTCTAGAAAATTCTTGAAACAACATATTGCGTGACATTGACCTTCGCGAACTTTCTAGACAATTCCATCCTTGTAACAATATTACTTGCAAAACTTTCTTTAGGGACGTACAATTCTTGTGATTCCCTCCGATCTAATTAGGGCTAACTCACGGTCTAGGATTCTTGTGACGATTGCTAAAATAGCAAAACTTCGCCAAATCAGTTTTTATGACCCGTCTTACAAACACCTACTGTAAAAATTTTAGCGATGTCCTTACTTTATGCTCAGGCTCATGTGTTGCCGGTGTCGTTGGACTTAAAATGCCACGTTACTGTTTATTTGGAGATACTGTCAACACAGCGTCCCGAATGGAATCCAGCGGGCTTGGTAAGTATGATATGTATGACATCACACAACCAGCACGAATCACGAATACCGTGAACAGAGCAGCTCGAAACTTCAGCTTAAAAACTCTTATCGGTGGGAGCTTTACACCAGCAATTCAGTTAATAAAGCCAAAATTAACTTGACATATGCATTCGAATTCGAATTCGAATTCGAAAACCAGAACTCTTGTGGTAATTTTTTTTATATGGAATGCGTATGAAAAGAGTCTAATAGACTAAAAGATCACTGTTTTGGGATTTTGCAGCCCTTAGGATTCATGTCAGTTCTCAGTGCAAGTCCTTGCTGGATGACATCGGCGGTTATCACATTGAGGAAAGAGGTTGGACGTCAATGAAGGTACTCCTTATGAATACTCACGGAACATTAAACGTCGCGACTTCAATCTCTAGCTTTGCCAGTTTTTACCACATTGAAAATAATTAATTAATTAATTGATTTTTACCACATTCTATTAGGTTTGGTTAATTATATGTATACTTTTTAGCAATCGAGCTGAAATTATATCGTTTTTGGAGTACCCTTTGCTGTTGCTTAAAATTGGACTAATATAATACTATCTATGTGTGTTGTTTTTACAGGGAAAAGGAACACTGCTCACGTTTTTCTTAAACGGACGTGACGGCTTTCTGAAGTCTCTACCAGACCTCAGTAAAGCGGCTCCTATGGAAGAACATTCATTTAAATAAAAAACGACTATGCAACAAAATATGAAAGGTGTGAAACTTAAGAGCCACTAACCAAAAATATCGAGAATCCGCCGACAGTTGCAAAATTTCCTAATTCATTTTATTTTTTAAAAAGGACCCTTTTAACTAGCATKTTYSRAAAWT